CGGTGTTTATTTTTCCGGGTCCATTCCTCAAACACGGCACACAAACAAGGTGAGGCTCTTAAATATATTTAAAAAAAGAGCTTAATCCTGGCAGGCTCGTCATTTATTATAATGAAAATATTATTTTTTATCGCGACTAAGGCTCGTCAATGCTTGTTTTGCATGTCGTGCGAGGAGAAATGGACTATAAACGAAGCGGTGACAATACACACGACGTTTATGACAGAGCACGAAAGATGAAAACAGAACATAGAACCAAAAAAATCACGAAGGCAAATAAGTAACAAAACTGTCAGATCGAATGAGAAAACTATAGAACGCCAGTTCAATGCGGGAAGTTCCAAAACCTCACAATGAGATGCGGGCCCCGAGGAACGCCGAGGTGCAGGGCAGGAGGCGGCGACAGGCAATCGGAAGCGGGGTGCGTCTCGATGTGTGATGCTATGGTGGCGATGACGCTTGGCGGAGTGGGGGCGTGGGCACAACTACGAAGCAGTCAACCCGCATCGGAGACGCGATGCTTCTTGCGTGTAATGGGCCAGCCCGTCCAGCGAACAGCTTGCGTCGAGACGCGATGATCGGCGCAACGGTGACCATTAGGCAGGCTACGTACGTCGCTGTGCCGAACGTCTGACCACGGAGACGCCTCACCGAGATCCGCGATGCCCTCGGCAAGCAAGAGAACAGCAGGCCAGGCTGCGCCCTGAGATGCAGTACTCGTGCCGGCAACGTCCCTCCAGCTGGTAGTTGGACGGCAGTAGCGTGGACAGCCGCGTTCCCTGGCCGGAACCTGGATCGCCTGCGTCCAACGCTTCGGCCCGCTGTCTCCCGTCTTCCGATGCTTCGGCTCGTCCCCAGCCACAAAGCTTACCGCCACGTAATGGTCACCCGTGGCCCAATCGTGGCATGCCACCTCTATGGGCCACCACAGGTCATCACCCGATTGGCTGACCTCACTCTCACCGTTGGCTCAGAACCTCACGCGTCTTGCCCCGCACTTCCGTCGTTGTCATCGCTTTCTTCACTCATCACACACGGCAATCTCGTTAGGGGGCGAAAGATGAGGCCTTGGAAATTTCGTCGGTGGCGCACCTCTTGCTTCAGGAACTGCGACTGTTAGTTTTCCTCCCGGACGTGGTTGGAACGGCGGTGCATGGGGGAAGGAGACCGAAGACGGGGTGAAGGAGATCAACGTCGACTGAAGTCTGGTCGACGTGAGCGCGTGTCATGTGAATCAGGTGTCACATGCGATTCTGATTGCCGAGGTATGTTGCCGGAATGCTGAACATCATTAAAATAGAATTCACGCCGACGACAGTAGCGCGCGACATGTCCTGGAATACCACAGTTGTAGCAGACGGGCCGGTTATCCGGAGTACGCCAAGAGTTTACAGGTGCTCGAGGTGGTGGAAAGGGCCGATTTACCGGATAAACCGAAACTGGTGACCTGTAGTAGTTGGTGGCTGGACTGTATGAAGGGAGTGGCAGTTGGGCAGGTCGGCGGACGGCTTCTGCATAAGTCAGCGGTGCAGCCACTGATATTGGGGATGCGGGCGAAGGGAGAGCCTCGGCAACTTGCGTCTGAATAGCACGGCGAAGTGAGTGGTCCAGTGTTGTGGGGGTCTCGTTGATGGTGGCGACAAGAGAGAGCTGTCGAGCAACTTCCTCCCGGATGTACTGTTGAATTTGAGGCATTAATACGCTGTAGTCAGGGCCACTGCTTTTGCACTCCAAGGCCGAAATATCAGCTGTTTGCGTATTAGCGCGACGTGTAGAAATTCGTTGCTTGCGCAGCTCATCGAAACTTTGACATAGCTGAATCACGGCCGTGATTCACCAGACCCTGCCTCGTTGCAGAAGAAATATTTCGTAGATGTTTTCTGCGCCATATTACAGCATATTACTGCAATCCGCAATAATTTGATTCATAGGTCGTGTGCAGTGTGCTCATGTGTTATGAGTTATGAGTTATGTGTTATGCAACCTAGCTCGTTGCAGAAGAAATATTTCGTAGATGTTTTCTCCGCCATATTACAGCATATAACTGTAATCCGCATTAATTTGATTCATAGGTCGTGCGCAGTGTGCACATCTGTTATGAGTACAATTTAGGCGAAAAAAAAACTTCGCATACACGTAACAAAAATTAATGTCGAGAAAAAATAGTGACGCTGGCACATAAAGTAGGCGAGCATCGCATAACTGTTAGCGCTATTGTGTACTACATTCAAATTGGTCTCACTGCTTTGCTAATAAGAAATGCCCATGCTTTAATATAGTTCCACGTGTAACTTGATTCATAGCTGCGCTAAAAAACGTGGTTAATCTTTTTTTTTAAGAATAGGTATAACATGAAAGTGAAACGTGTTCTGGGAGAGTTAGTTGAGCAATCATTGTGTACTGTCGTTCTGAGGCTTAGTGGTTAGCGTCATGCGCTGAAGAGCGCCAAGTAGTTGGTTTGACGCACCACTGCGGAATTCTTCCTTCTAGTTTATTCCTTTGCAATCTGTTAGTAAATATTTTAAATCGTCAAATCCGTGACATGAATACGTAACGGAGCTGTGTTGGACCGACACATAAAACACTATCGTGTTAAAAACACGAAGAGACGAGACACACACACACAACGGGCACAAACTGCCGACCATAAAAAGTTGGCAGTTAGCGCCCGTCATGCGAAAGTCTCATCTGTTGTCCGTGTTTTTTACCGCAGCCATAAATCAAGTTACAAACTTACTCCACCTCGCCCAAGTGAAAGCGTTCCTGCATAAAATAGTTGGACAATATACCAGGCTTTGCAACAATGTTGTAGTGTCTAGTGGGATGATAGGCCATAGGGGTAAATTCTCATGGTAGCAGAATTTGCATTAGTATAGCCGTAGAGCATCTGATTTGGATTAAAGTCGGCAGCATGTGCTTTAAAGTTTCAATAAGCCAATTTAGGTTGCGATGTCATTCGTCGGTGCCAGCACCGTCTTGGCTGGTTGTTCACGAATGTCTGGTAGTTGTTCACAGACACTTCGGTTTGTTCACATGCACCAGCTCTGCATCTGCTGTAGATGATGGTGGTTTAGAAACTAACGTGTGTGGTCTTCAGATGCTTGGGTCTTGAAAAAACGCCAGGCCTGCGCGGAAGACACAGCACAGTCACAGCGAAAGCTAGCAGATCACCCTTTCCGAGTCTATTCTAAACACTCATCGGGTAACTGCTGCACTCACACTTGCTTGATGCTCACTACGGCATTAATATTACACATTTTAAAGCAGTGGGACGGCATTCACTATGCCATTTTTTTATTCTTCAGAGAAGCGTGGTATCCGCCTAACTATTGCGAGTGATTTTGTGCCAATTGTTCATGCAGTGACTGACGACGATAAAGAATTATGCTTCAAGTGCGTATGCGCCACAGTTAATAGTTGAGCAAAAACAAGCTTTTGTAAAGGATTGCAGCATCGGACGAACCACTGGTTACGCTATTCGCATTGTGCGACAACTGCTTGTTCTTTCGCTGTAAAACACTTTATAAGTCGTGTTTACGCGATTGATTTCTAAACATCAAGACTGCCTGCGGCAAGTTTGCCAACAAGTGGCTAAGTGGTCGAATATACTGGGCTCGCTCCCAGCGGACCCGGGTTTGAGCCCTATATTGTAATTTGTCCCAGAATTTTTTTATTTCACGTGATGTCGCTACGGACACCAGCGGCGGCAGCGGACAACTACGGTGCTGTGCGAGACTCAAGTTGTGACCCCATAACAGCTATGGTTTTGAAAAAAGACGCTACCTACCAATGTATCATTACGCCAGGACGGCAACGTTTATGGTTCAAGGGGTACTGACTTGTGTAGTTAGCCGAGCTTTCGTCAATTAGCATAAATTACTTTTTGTGAGCTTTGTTCCTAGGACAGCAGAGTTTCTACTTAGTCCACTTCATTTCTTATTTATTTGTGTCATAATTATTAGTCAGTAGACACTACACAATACAATAGTTACAGACTACAAATAATGTACCCTTTTTCTACCTTCCTTGGCTTCAGTTCCTGTTGCTTTCCCCAGTAGCCCCACTTGCAGTCAAGGTTGTACGGCTCCGCTGGGTAACAGTGTCGAAATTGCATGCACAAATACACCAAATAAAGTGGATAGGGAAGCTATCGCCACCGCAGCTGAATTTTAGAGCATCGGTAACGTCATCCCTAAATTTGCACGTTCAGCCTGTACCGACGTCAATGTTGCCTTTTTGTTTACGTAAATTTCCTTCCATAAGGGTATAATTATTGCGCCACAATAAATGACTGCAAATAATTTCTCCTACTCATTTTCCATTGAGTCCACTATGATTTGTCTAACAGAGAAACCAGCAGTTGGTCCATTTTCCTTTTCACGAAACTGCTTACGGGTGTCACTACTTTCCGATGGCACAGTGCACGTGTAAGCGACAGCCAGGTATACAACCCTTTCACTCCCCCCGATGCTCCCCGATTCTCCAGTTGGACGTGAAATGTGCCCTGTACGCCTCTAGCATGAGCAGTTGGTTCAGCTAATCAGTTCAACCATGCTATCATGTTGCCAGGTTATTTGGTACGTATATTGTGGGAAATACACTCAAACACGGTGGATGGAACAAGAGAAAAAAAAAGGCTTCGTACTGCTTGCGTTTGCTTCCGCAGTTATTGTGCGCCTTCTCGTTCGAATATTATAGCAGAACTTTTAATTGCGATTCTACTGTTTCAAAAATCCCCAAATTTTCGCGTGCCTTTTGTGTCATTCACTTTTGCAAGGTTCTTTACTAATCTCATGTTAGCATCCACAACGTTTTTCTTCGTGGCAGTGAAACTACCTTCCGCATAACCTAAATGTCTAGATTTAGAATGCGTGAATGCTTAGAAAAATATTTACTAGGCGAACACGTTTCTGCAAAAATGGCAGCTATATCAAATAGTATTCTTGTACTTGCCTTATTTATCAGCTGTTTCGTATGTTCCGTTTCTGTTGTGCCTTCTTTTTTCAAGCGGTTATACAGTACATTATCCATGACAACATTTAGATCTATTATAAAGTAAGACGCCCAATGGTACAGAGAACCTTTCGCTGTGGGGGAAAAGAAACAATACAAAACGAAACAAAGCCGCCAGGTATATAATAGGCACGAGCCTTAGAGGCTATTTTCTTTACAGTTGCAAAAAGCAAAATTCAAGCTGTGCAACAAAAGTTTTCATGCTGAGTTTCTTTCTTGAGCAGAAGTTTCGTTTTATACATTTAGGAAACAACCATTTGTCAAAAAAGAAAATCTTGTGCAATTTAACGAAGCAAAGCTTTGGAGGGCATTGCATTGCTTGCTGTCACAGAGTAGCGCTAACACAATACGCCATGCAGCGTGCTTATAGCGATCATATTTCACTATACAATGACTTATAATTGCTTTGGTCTTACCAGCCAAAACGAAGATATTGTCATGGGGTCGTGACGAGTACGAAAGAAGCAGACTGGTTGTTCAGTTTAAACTGTTAGGCTGAACTTGTCACCGCAAAACAAGGAAGTCAGATTACAGCAACACACTGGCACTGATGGCGGTGAGCAGAGCGTCGGCCGTCGATAAATTGACAAGTGGCGAAGCGTGTCGTCATTTATACATTTGCCATCGAATATTCCAGCGCTATTGCTAGAATATTCACGAATAATCTGTAATGTTCACGAAGTGGGCGTAATCTCAACAAATTGATCTGCAGAAACTTTGAACCTTCCAGAACAATGAGGCACAGTTTGCGGTGAGCATTTCAGACAGGCTTTGTGGGTGAAAACCAAATGAAACATAAGTATAAAGAAAAAAATTGCGTGGCATTGCTTCCCTCTGAAAAAAGCGTCGTCCCGATGCTTGAAACTGAACAGCGGGAGAAATACATGAACAATAAAAATAACAACAACAAAGCAAAAAAGAAAATCTCAATAATAAATTAGTACAAGCAATGAAGCACAATAATAACTACAAAGAACTCAGTCTTTAAGTTCGTTGACGCACATAAACAGGCTTGAGGAGCATGACATGAGCTTCTTCAAGTCACGCACGCCGCCGTTGAGAGTTCGTGATGCCTTTGGGGACAGCCTCGTAGTCAACTGGGCCGAGACGTTGAACTACTCTGTACGATCCGAAGTACCATCGCAGAAGTTTTTCATATAGTCCACGTCGGCGCATTGGCGTCCATACCCAGACACGGTCACCGGGCTGGTACTCCGCGTACCTTCGTCGAAGATTCCAACGGCAGCTGTCGGTCACCGGCTGATTCTTTATGCGCAGGCGGGCGGGTTGACGAGCTTCTTTCGTGCACTGAAGGTAGATGGTGACGTCGAGGTCTCGTTCATCAGCGATGTTTGGCACCATGACGTCGAGCGTCGTTATGGGGTTCCTTCCGTAGGCCAACTTGCATGGCAACATCGGCGTCGTCTCTTGCACTGCCATGTTGTATGTGAAGGTCACGTAGAAAAGATGGCATCCCACGTTTCGTGTTCGACGTCGACGTACATGGCCAGCATGTCGGCGATGGTCTTGTTAAGCCGCTCGGTGTGACCATTTTTGTGTGGGTGGTAGGTGGTGGTGCGGCGGTGGCTTGTCTAGCTATGTCTGAAGTTCGCATGAGTTAAATCAGCAGTAAAGACCGTACCTGTATTGGTGATGATAACCTCTTGGGTGCCTTGATGAAGGACGATGTTTTTAACAAAGAGTTTGGTTATTCCGAATACACTGCCTTTAGGCAGGGCCCTTGTCTTGGCATAGCGTGTTAGGTAATAGGTGAAGCGACGGTGATCTACTTGTTTTCTGACGTCGAGGTCAGAAACAACCATAGTAGGTTGCTGGAATGCCGATTTGTTGGAATGTTCGGCGTGGTTGCTCGATGAGCTGTAGAATTCCAGCTGACCTAGTCAGTGCTGTCTTCCGTCGCCGACTATCTCGGCGAATCTTCTAGTAACGAGCGACGTCGGCCGCAAGTCGAAGCCAGTAATAATTTTCCTGTATTCTGGCGAGCGTGCGCGAAACACCAAGGTGTCCGGACGTGGGGCCGTCGTGCAGAACATGGAGTACTTTTGGTCGCAATGAGAAAGGCACGACGAGAAAGTACTGGGCTCGACGGGCCAAGAAGTTCTTTTTTTGGAGAACGCCGTTTTGAAACATAAACGACGTTAGTGTTTGCTCGAATACCTTCGGGACAATAGCAGCACTGCCCTCGAGGTATTCCATAAGAACCCTGAGTTCAGGATCAGCTTACTGTTCAGCGAAGGCGTCGGCTTTTACGGTTCCCAAGAAGCAGTCATTATCTTGATCATCTTGCGGTGGTGCATTGACGGGGGCACGAGATAGGCAGTCGGCATCTGAGTGCTTTCTTCCGGACTTGTAAACGACGGATATGTTGAATTCTTGCAGTCTCAGGCTCCACCATGCGAGATGACCCGAAGGGTCTTTTAAGTTTGCCAGCCAACACAAGGCATGGTGGTCGCTTACAACTTTGAAGGGCCTGCCATAAAGGTAGCGGCGAAACTTTCATGTAGTCCAGATGATAGGAAGACACACCTTTTCTGTTGTAGAATAGTTAGCCTCTGCGTTTGATAGCAATGAGTTGGCATAACCGATAACCCTTTTCTGTCCGTCAGTTCTCTGCCCAAGAACGGTGCCGAGTTCTGGACTGCTTGCGCCAGTATGTATTTCTGTTTCGGCGAATTCGGAAATGCGCGAATATTGGAGGCGTCTGCAGACGTCGTTTTAGTTCATGAAATGATTCCTCCTTCAGCGTTTCTCACTTGAATTGCACTATGGACCTGGTAAAGTTAGTGAGTGGCTCTGCGACTCAAGCGTAGTTGTCAACGAACCACCTGTAAAAGGCGCAGAGGTCGAGAAATTGATGGACGGCCTTCTTTTCGGTAGGTGGAGGGAATTCATTGATGGTGATTGTCTTCTGCGGGTCGGGGCTTTCACCGGACTTGCTTACCACGTGGCCCAAGAACATGAGTTCTTTGTACGCGAAGCGGCACTTCTCTGGCTTTAGGGTGAGTTCGGAGGTCTTGATAGCTTGAAGTACAACTTCAAGGCACCGAAGATGCTGGGCGGAGCTTGAGGAAAACACGACATCGTCCAAGTACCCGAAGCAAGTCTGCAACTTTAACGCAGCCAGTAAATTATCTACAACGCGTTGAAAAATTGTGGGGGCCGAGCGAAGACCAAAAGTCATCGCCTTGAATTCAAAGAGGCCGTCTGGTGTTATAAAGACGGTCTTCTCTCTGTGTATCTCGTCAATTCGAATTTGCTAATAGCCGGTCTTGAGGTCCATTGACGAAAAATACCTCGCGTTGTGGGGTAGATCTAGAGTGTTATCTATCCGTGGGAGAGGGTACACATCCTTTGTGATTTTGTTTAGGAGGCGATAATCGAATCAGAAGCGCAGGGTGCCATTCTTCTTCTTCACTAGCACCACAGGTGCCGCCCACGGTCTCTTGGAAGGCTGTATGAAGTTGTCACGTAGAATTTTGTCTACTTGCTTTCTTATTGGCTTCCGCTCTGGCATCGAAACTCTGTAGGGCTCTGACAAAGTGGTCTGGTACTCTCCTCTGCTATGATTCGATGTTTTGCTACTGATGTCTGCCGAACTTTCAATGACGATAAAAATCAGTCGTCGTAATGCCAGAGCAGGCTTTTCCGCCGTTATTGCTTATGCTTCAGAAGTCTCGGATTAACGTCGAAATTCTCGTGGAGACCTTGATTCTTCGAAGCAGGTTCAGTAGACTCAGCAAGGGCGATAGCGTTTCTGGCTTCTACAATTTGTTTAAAATATGCAACCGTCGTGCCTTTGATTACGTGTTTATACTCGTTGCTGAAGTTTCTGAGCATCACTGTTGCTTTCTCCCCTCTCAGCTTGGCTATTCATCTTGTGACGTGAATCTCACGGTTGATCAACAGCTGCTGGTCGCTTTCAGCGACACCTTGCAGGTATACGTTGATTTCTGAGAGCTGGTGTAAAAGCGAGAGAGAATGGTGATTTGATATTCCAGTACATTCAAGACCACTTTTTGGACGGAGTGTGCGCCGGTAGGGCTTTTTCTGTTGGCAGCGTTGACTTGGATCTCAGATCAATGAACGCTTTATGAAGGCTTAAGAAATTCATACAAAGGATCACATCTATTGAGCACCGCTTTAGTACAACAAGGCTTGCGAGGTAAATTCAGTTAACGCAGACTTTCGATGTACAGATTCCCTCCGCGGTGTTAGTAGATGGCCTCCAGCTGTTATAATTTCAGGTACTTCCCAGGCGTGCCTGGCTTTCTTTAACTTCGTACAAACGCTCCACTGATGATAGAATGGTCCGCTGCAGGGTCGACGAGAGCTGTCACACTGTGGCTGATGATAAGAACGTGGAGGTTGCTAGTTTGTCGTCTGACGTTGCAGTTGGGTCGTGGCGTCAGATTACAGCTGCGCCACTTTGTGCCGCTGCTTCGACGCTGCGTCATCAAGCCGTATTCTGGCCGCGAATTTTCGATGTCGAAGTCGGAACTACGTTGATGTTGTGGCCGGATCTTGTGATTTTGTCGTGGCGTTGTCGTCGGCGGCGGAGGATCTTCGGCAGTTCGTCGTACAGCAACCGCACCTCCATCGACTGCTGCCCTTAGTTTTCCGAGTACGGGCGGCGGCAAGGTGACGTGCACCAGCTTGGTGACTGCAAACGGGAAGATCCTCGGGGCATCCACTGCGCTGCTGCGAGGTAGTCAGTGATGTGTGGTTTTCACATCGCTGTGAGCGCGGCGCTTCTATGGCAAAACCACGCAGTCTTATCTGGCGGTACTGGCAATGGTGGTAGGTGTGGCCAGCTCCTCCGTGGTAGCAGAGAGATCAGTGGTCGGGGGCACGCCACACATCAGTTTTCTTCGGAGCGTTGCGTTGGCTCGCGGATACATGGTACGGTGTCGACGGCGGTGGTTGCTGGCGGCGGAACTGCAACGGCTTGAAGGCGGAACATAGCATCTGGCTGCAGAAGCGTAGCTCATCGCTTGCCGCTGAGGTTGCGGCGCTCAGGAAACTCCAAGCGATTGCCGAACTTTTTCATCGAGAATGTCGGCGATTGATTCCATTTGAGGCTGCACTGAGGGTATACTGCTTGCGCAGCTCCTCTCGCATGATCTCTCGGATAGTCTCGCGCAGGACATCAGAACAGAGTAGTATGACTTCTGCGCACTCTGGCGTCGAGCGGCGATTAAATTGTCGAGTGTGCATCTCCAGCGTCTTTTCAATCGTCATCGCTTCGGAGATGAACGCCTCGACAATGCGTTTTGGGTTTTGCATCAGACCCACGAACAGCTCCTGCTTTACTCCTCGCATGAGGAAGCAAACTTTTTGCAACGAAAGCTGTTATGAGATCACAACTCGGTTCACGCGCCACCGTAGTTGTCCGCCGCTGCCACCGCCGCCGCAGCCAGTGTCCGTAACCACATCGCACGAAATTAGAAATAAAAACTTAGTGCCAATGACACAGTGGGGCTCGAACTGGGTTTGCTGGGTGCCAGCCCAGTATTCTACGACTGAGCCACGCCGGTGCTTGGGGCTTGGTGGCAAATGCGCCGTAGGCAGGCTTGATGTCGGGAAAGTTAATACGACTTATAAAGCGCTTTAAAGCAGCGAAAGAACAACCGGGCGTCAACAATGGGAATAGTGTAACAAGTGGGTCGTTCAATGCTCCAACCCATTAGAAAAGCTTGCTCTTGTTCACCTATTAACTGCAGCGCATACCCCCTGCAGGCATAATTTATAATCGTCGTCAGCCACTGCATGAACAATTGGCACGAGATTTCTTGCTATTGCTGAGCGGATACCACATTTTTCAGAAGAATGACGAAAAGTAGCATATTAAATGCCGCCCTACTACCAAAAACTTTTTTAATAATAATGCCGTAGTGGGTATCAAGCAAGTGTGCTTGGAGTAGTTACCCAATGAGTGTTGGGAAAGGCTCTGAAAGGCCGCTATTCTAGCTTTCGCTCTGACTGTGTGGCGCCTTCCGCGCAGGTGTGGCGTTTCTTTTTTTTTTTCAGGGCATCTCGGGGTTGCCGTGGCGGAAGAGTTTGGTCATCTCTTCCGTAAAGAACGCCGCGTTTTCGTTTGGAAGTTGTGAACCGGTTTCAAGCAGTGTTCGGCCCTCTCCTTGCGAATGACGCTCGTGAATGTAGCGAGGAATGTAGTGCGCAATGTGTCTCATGTTCTCAGGGTTCGCTCCTTGTTCTCGAACTATGTGTGAGTGGCATCTTGTAAGGCGAAGTACACATGATGAAGCTTATCTTCGCTGGTCCAGGTATTGAAAATGGCGACTTAGTCGTATGCCTCTAGCCAGTTTTCCGGGTATTCAAGGGTGGAACCATGCAAGGTCGGAGTCTCTTTGGGTTGCCGTAGCAGGATCGGTGCATGCGGCACAGGGTCTGTCATCGCTGCTGTAGCCGTGGTCAGGGTTCTGGTCTGCCGACTCTTCTAAGATAGAGGCTCAAAATTTGGCGGTGGACCCTGTTGCCTGCGGCTTGTCCAGTGCTTGGGGTTGTCGTCGATGTCGACGGCCCCACCACGGCTTGAAGGTGCCGTCTGGCACGTGGAAGGAGCAGCACCTCCACCGACGCCCCAACGTTCTTAAACATGCAACTATCTACGAAAACACGCATGTTCTTCGCATTTCGCCCTTATGGAAATGCGGCTGCCATGACAGGGAATGGAACTCGCGCTCTCGAGCGTGATCACGTGACACCCTGCGTTCTAAACTAACAGGGTGGGTAGCATTTATTGCCAGCTTCACTTTAAGAAGTTATATTGTTTGTAGAATCTTCATTAGGTGGCGATTAATAATAATAATAATAATAATATTAATAATAATAATAATGCTTCAAGGTTTTACATGCCCCTCGCCACAGGTTTCGTGTGGTATTGGTGCTTGACGGCTGACCCAAGGGTCACAGGATGGAATCATGAACGCGTTCGTCGCAATTCAGTAGGCCCCAAGTGACAGAAGGCCGTGTGCTTACATTCAGGGACAAGTTAATAAATCCCAGCGGGTCAAAATTGGTGGAACCCAAAGCTGCCGCCCCTTCTACTTCAGTGGTTGTTTTACGAAGTAAAACTCATACAATTATTATCATTAATTTTTTTCACGAGACAGCAGCACAATTTTGTTCGTAGGCAAAACGCCACGGAGGGTTCCCGAAAACTTAACTGCCTGGCATTCTATAGCGCGCACTTAAATTTTAGCGCATGGACATGCAGCGCTTCGCTTCCGTCAGTATGTGATCACCACTAAGTAATGTACGTTGCATTTTCTGCGTCTGCAGTATGCTGATAAATATTGTTCCATAGTTCAGGCAATGTTAATAATTGAGATGATTGGAATTTTCGCTATTCCCCCCTCTGTAGGGTAGCATACCAGTCCTCCTAGACTGGTTAACATGCCTGCCTTTCCTTTCCTTTCTGTTCCTTCCTGTTCCTTCCTTTTTTCTCAGGTGATGCTAGTTAAAGTTTGGACCACTATTTAATAGGAATTATAGTGGATTGCAACGTGTTACATGCAAATTCGCTTAGATACTTTGAAATAGACAAAGCCAAGACCTTAGAAGCTACGGAGCTGGCAAGCACAACACATTCTGAAGGCTTGACAGATTTTATAACATCAAGGGCGTCATACCTAGAAAAACATTATTTCAACTAATTTACGTATGGTAGCTTTACTGTGATAGCAACCGTTGTGAAACTTTCGGTGACTTTCAGGAGTTTCCATTCTCTTAGACCTGCCTGTAGAAACTCCTGTAAAGTAACGCGACATCTTAAACAAGTCTGTGCTCGATCTACGCGAAAACGAATCTGGAATAGTTACCTGCTAACTTTATGTGCTATAACAGTTCACTTTGTTGCTACCACAGTCATTCGTTCACCCTTGCGGCGATGTTTTGACTTATTTTGCAATATCAACTTCCAATATTATTAACGCCAAATTCATCAACTAAAATAAATTTCTGCTCAAACGTGCAATGTCTCAGCCTGCCTATTACCTGCTTCATATAAGTGGACAAGTGCAGTAATATGACTCATAAATCATAAAGAAACAATGTATAAAAAAAGTAGCCGCTTACTCCTTCTTTCACATAATTAACTTACAAGGTACACTCTTGCTTATGACTGCTTTCGAAGAGGCATCACAAAATGCTAAAAGAAAAAGAGAGAAAAAAACAAACACTGGCAGTATTGTATTACCTCCACCTCTCATATGGCGCCGGAAAAAAATTATTTTAAAAGTTAGTGCGCTTCGAGTATGTGATCCATGCAACAACTGTAGCTACATTGATTAAGTTACAATTTTGCATCAGTATTTACGTACTACTGCTCATGGTGAAAGATGCGCAGAAGTTTAGGACAGATATAAAACGCTACACTAAGGTTGCTCCAGATGAAGGATGTTTTATTATTTTCATATTCTTCATTATTATTCAATATATTGATGGTGCTTGGAACGACTGCCGCCGTCAAGGCATCTGAGACCTTCCCGAGACTAAAACAATAAACCAAATAAATGATGATTGTAAATAGCATACCCTGGAGAGATTTATCCTTACATCATTAAAGATAATATTCATGTTTATCTTTCGTTCACTTATGCTCCGTTCATGAAAGAGAAGTAAGACAAGACGAGTTTGCTGTCTAGTATTATCAAAATCCAAAGCTAGCAGATGAGAGTGACAAGCAAAGAACTACGTCTATTTTGCTTTCGTTCATACTGATTGCATGTATTAGTTCTAGACTAGATTGTAGACCTATATTGACAGACTGTTGGTTGAGTTGATATTTCATTATCCCCCCCCCCTCCCAAAAAAAGAAAAAGGCGCCATTGTTCAAGTTTCTCGCATGCATTCTCTGATTCTAAAAATTTCTACTGAAATACGCTGGTGAGCCCATGGTAGATAATATCGGACAATGTATATGATTATCTATTTGAAGGGTTTGTTATGTAAAAAATTACATGCAGTAAGGGTTGACGGAGGGATTGTGCATTCATTTTAACCTTCGCAGCACTAGCTTGTGTAATACCATATATAGTTACCGAAAATGGTGCTCCATCGAAGAAGTCTAAGTAGTGCCTTGCTCATGCTTGTGAACTCCTTCGTTGCGTAATGAGAGGTGCTTAAGGACTTCGAAACAAGTATTTCGATTTTGAGGCCAAGCGCAAGTGCGACATTCTAGAAACGGGGGTCCTCGAGTAAGTAAAACGCAATTGTGCCTGTATTAAAACAGAACAACACTGCATCTGTAGAAGCCAGGATATCTTCGACCTCTATATTGTATTCACTGCAGCACTTCTTAAAGGTTACGAATCAGCCACAACCAATGATGATAATAATGTCACGTCAGTCGAGTTTTTTTTTCGCTGACAGGAGATATATTTTTAAGGGGCACTGACACATTGCTAGGATGTAGGAACGACATTGAAAAAATTCTTGGTTTGACCTTTACATACTGAAGAGCTAGATGTATCGTTTCAGGGCAGCTACAGAAAAATAGCGTTCATAAAATACGGCTGAGAACCGCAGTTGGGAAGACGTACTTCCACTGCAAGTAGAAAACCTAAGAAGCAACCTTGTTCCAATAATGTGTTTTTCCATTTGTCAAGCGACTGCATTTCATGTTGAGCGTTCTTTGTTTAAATGTTATCTTCTCACGAAAGCACCTTTTTAATGCGTTGATACAGACTGCACAAAACTGAAATAAATGTAAGTGGACTTCCTCAATGATGGTTGGTTTATTTTGCGTCGATTCCATGCGTGTGCCAAAATTTACGCAGTGGAATTATTATCGCCTTATGCCCTTGTGCCAATCATATATTAGGAATGTCGAATAAGACAAATAATTTCATTACAGATGACACTAACTAAAAGAACGAAAGCAGTAGATTATCGCGTTGACATCTGGGGCTGTCGATATTCAAAAACTCATCAACGTTTCAGCATACCTGCGATGAAGAAGCCTCCATTTTTGAGGGCTCTGCACGTGCGATATACGTTTTGTACAACCTGAGCGAGTGGTGTGATAGTGATAATGCGCACAAGACAAAACAATTGCAGAGCTCACTACCTTGATGCAAAAAGCAGCGCATTCACGGCACACACATGGTGCGCATGTATTGGCGGACAAAGTTTTGTAGTTGCTTTTCAATGAAAACGTAGACAGTGACTTACGCTGAATTTGCATCTTATATTTAGGGCACCTATGTTACATTGCAAGCTCCATTTATTCGAAAATATTATTACCTTATTTCTATAAAGCACATGGTTTCAGAAAGCTCAGTCAAACTTTCACTTGATTACTTATGCACTGTACATGTGGTGCTTTTAACAACGCTAAGAGGACAGCTATTGGACCACAGTTTACCTTGTCCTCGTTATACCACCATGAACAATGATACCAAACTAAGTCAAAACATAACACATCTGATGCCACGTGTGTGGCCATACTAATATGGCTCTCGATTCGTGACCTTACGACGCCGAGAAGTGAGCCTTTTCAAACTTGGCTTGCCTTTTTATCTATGGCACAACAACTTTTAAATTCGGCCTCTTTGTCGTCGTATCATGACTAATAAATGAAAAGACTTGATTTGAGTACAATGCCAGCTAATATTTTCGCTTCATACATCCTTCACTAAAAATATTTTTGCTTCGTACATGCTTCAAACTGAAAAAGATTTAAGCATGTACATTCTAGGCGTATGTCAAGGGCTCAGTTCAAGTGCTGACATCTAAATGCTCTGCTCGTTTCATCTCAGCCGCTGCTAACTTGTCATCTCGAGTTGAAAGTGGCTTGACTTGACACTATCACTGAAGGTTGTATGATTTCAGTGACTTCAGTTGTAACACTAATTGGTGAAATTCTGCTCACTTGACTCAAGTATGCGTGACCAGTAAGATTTGCGATTCGCTGCGAATGGACGTTATACTCACGGAAAATTTGAATTTTCCGATAAAAATAATAGATAGATTACGAGGTAAGGGTAGAAAAGAGAACTTGTCAGAAGATATATATATATATATATATATAAATTGTTAAGCGGTTTATTGTCGGACACTCAGCGATGATTAACGACAGCGACAGTCAATGCGGGGATCGACTCTCTGCGCGAGCTGCTCTTCTTCTTATGAAAAGGGCGACCCACTAGAAGGCGCTGAAGAGGACGACCCACTGTTCAAAGGCTTTACCACAACTACCCCGGGTACGAAAAGGGAGCCGCCTGGCGACCAAACAGGTGGTCACAATGAGTGGGTCAAGGTAGGCCTTCAGGCGCTCCACGTTAACAATGTCGCGTCCTCGACGACGCATGTCCGAAGATGGTTCGATAGGTTCAATCAAGTAGTTGACTGGGGAAGTGCATTTGACGACACGGTAGGGGCCTTCGTATTTGGGCAATAGTTTTGAAGATAGGCCAGTTGCAGTAGTAGGGATCGAGAGCCAGACGAGCGCTCCAGGGAGGAACGTGGGCGCAGTAGTGCTGGCGTCAGCGCGAATGACTTTTTGCCGCTCTTGATCATGCGCTGTAAATGTCCTTGCAAGCTCTCGACACTCTTCAGCAAGCTTGGCTGTAGCAGAAATAGGCACCCATTCGGACGGATCTGGATGTACGGAAGTATAGTGTCGATGGTGTGTGACGGGTGCCTTCCATATAATAAAAAGAAATCGTTAATCATCGCTGTCGTTAATCATCGCTGAGTGTCCGCCAATAAACCGCCTAACAATTTGGTGGAGAGTGCTTAGAGTGCCCTGCCCTTCAAACACCTTCGGTCCGCATTCGATGCTCTTGAAGCTTCGATCCCGTACCGTGCCTCCAACCATGCACCAAGACGCCGCCCAGCAAACGCTTCCTCCTACGCCGACGCCATGTCCCGGTGTCCCCCGCATCCGCGACCCTCCTGTCTTCACCGGAGCGGATGGCACCGACGTCGAGGACTGGCTGGCCATGTACGAACGCGTGAGCGTCCCCAACCATTGGGACGAGGCAGGTAAACTCGGCAACCTGTTTTTCTATCTCGCGGGTGTGGCCGGCATGTGGTACAACAACCACGCATCTGATTTCCCGACATGGTCCGCTTTTAAAACCACTGTCGTCGACGTGTTCGGCCGCCCAGCCGTTCGTAAGTTGCAAGCTGAACAGCGTTTACGTGAACGAGCCCAGCAGACCGGCGAGTCCTTCACAAGTTATATCGAGGACATCCTTGACTTGTGCAAGAAAGTCGACCAGAACATGTCAGAGGCTGACAAAATCACGCATGTTCTAAAAGGCATCACCGACGATGCCTTCACCATGCTTTTGGCAAAAAACCCCCGCACTGTGGCAGAAGTCATCATGTTATGCCAAAGTTACGACGAGCTGTGGCGGCAGCGCTTGATGACCCGTCGACCGCCACCACGTGATGCTGATCTATTGGCCTTGTCAGCAGTTCCTGACCACGCAACCTTGCTCGCTGAAATCAAGTCGTTCGTGCGTGAGGAAGTTGCCCGCCAGGTCTCTCTACTGGCTTTTGCTTCCCCACAACATGCTCAACAACCATCAAGTACACTTCTACCTCCGCTCCGCCGAGCCATTCAGCAGGAAATTGCGGAGGTCGTCCCTGAATACCACCAGCCGCCTCCTGCATCTGTGCCCCTCAGCTACGCCCAAGTTGTTGCAAGGCCGCCCCCACCGATTTCTGCAACTGTTCCCCTAAGTTACACCGAAACCGTCGCGAGGCCCCAGGCCTTTGGAGAAACAGCCTCGCCTACATACGCCGGCGTCACCCACGTGCCCCGAGTGCCGCCTACCATGCACTAATATCAGCAGCCGGCTCGCCAATCGCGTTCTGCGACAAGGATGCGACCCGCAAACCAATGGCGCAACGCTGACAATCGCCCCATCTGCTTTGCTTGCGGTTGCGTCGGTCATGTGGCACGCTATTGCAATCGTGTGCAGCAACCGCAGGTCGCCTCCAACTTTCCCAGCCAGTCAAGCCGCTCTTATGACCAACCACCGCCTATGTCACCGTCGTGTCGCCCCGTTCCGTCTACCCGCCGTTCACCATCTCCACGACGTCGCTCACTGTCGCCAATGCGGCCACGTCCACTCGAGGGCGACCAGGAAAACTAGTCGTCGCAGTCCACGAGGCAAGGGCTGCGACGCTGTCGAACTGCGGAAGCCCTCAGGAAAGCCCGTCGAACGTGATAGACGTGCTTGTGGATGGCGTTCGTGCATATGCCCTTGTAGATACTGGAGCCGCCGTATCCGTGATGGACGAAAAGCTTAGCCGATTACTGCGCAAAGTGACCACGCCGCTTTGTGGGCTCTCCCTCCGTACAGCCAGCGCCGAAAGTATTCACCCTATACGGCGATGTGCACAGCCCGCCTTATGATTCAGGACGTGATGTATGCTGTCGAATTCATCATAATTTCTTCACGCTCTCACGACGCCATCCTAGGATGGGATTTTCTCTCCCGCCACGACGCCGTCATTCATTGCGCACCAGCAGAAATAGAACTCACGCCATTCTCTTCTTTGACGCCGGCCGACAGTCCATCCGCTGCAAGCAAGTTACTCGTCAGAGACGACACTCAAGTGCCTGCAAACTCGTCCGTTGCGGTGTCGCTCTACTGCGCAAGCCTTTCTGACACCGCTGCACTCCTCTCGCCATCTCATCGTGTCTTCATAAAAAAAAGCTTGCTGGTTCCTTTCGCGACCGTGCAACTCACTCACGGCAGCACCACTATTTTTGTTGTGAACTCATCTCCGTACAGCGTTACGTTGGTGCAAGGGGAATGTCTCGGCAGCGAGGAACCCATCGAAGACGCGCAAGTTATGGATCAACCCGATGACATGCACTGCTCAAGTTCCTGTACGCTTGGTGCTGTTTCGACATCTGCTTCATCATCCGATGATATATTCGGTTCCTGCATACCCGACGACCCACTGTTGAAAGGCTTTACCACAATATATATATATATATATATATATATATATATATATATATATATATATATATATATATATATATATATATGCTTCTTTTACACATTAGTATATTCATCATCATCATCATCAATCCAGGGCTTTGTCGTCCTCTTCACCGGCTGCCGGGTGTCAGCGCCATCATGATCGGTTGTGTGTGCTCTCTGCCTTGACCTGCGTTCAGGATACTGGCTAATTTCTATGCATGAAGAGGATAAAGAGGAAATGACATTTGCAACCGCCGACGGGCTATGAAAATTCAACGCTATGCCTTTCGGGCTGTGCAACGTGCC